CCATAACAAACTTTATGTTTGCTATGGAGCATCAGATTGTATAAATCGTTGGGGGCATTAGATTGTATAAAATCGCTGACAACCTCTCATTTGTATAAATCGTTGGCAGTCTCTCGTTTGTATAAATCGCTGGTAGCCTTTCAATTCAATTGTATGTGTTTGTATATCTACATAAAATTTGAATTTGTATACAATTGAATCGAAATAAAACGTTTGTATATCAAATCTCTCTCTCGCGCGCGCTTTACACAAACACAAATTATACATTGTATTTTGTATTTTGCAGAATCTGTGTTTGTATAAAGCGAGAAAGAGAGAAAGACAAAAGAGAATTGGGCAGGGGAAGATTTGTATTGTATAATTATAAGTGTATAGGACGAAGATATATGTATTTGCATGTGTATATACAATTTTCTCTCGCTTTATACAAACAGAAACACAATTTATATATTTGTGTTTGTATAAAGTGAGAGAGGCGAGGGAGAGACTGACGAGCGAGAGATGGAGAGTGGCGAGCGAGAATTTCAGGGAGAGAAGCGAATGACAACAGTTTGCTATGGGTTACAATTAAATCAAACTGTGGTTATAACATTTAATTTGAATTAATAGTTTGCTATTATATACAAATTTTCCTAGTTGGAATCTGGACATTGTCGAACTAACGGTTCATTATTAATTTTTTATCCTAAGGGAAGTCTCGGGCCGGGGCTACGATAAGATTGTTTCATTGTGAGTTGTGACCAGTAGGTTATTGATTCAAGTTGTGAAAACAGTTGCTTGTAGAGAGGTAAGGTTACATATACTAGACTTAATGTGGTGAAATCTTTTTTTCATCATAGCCATAGGAAAAATTGAGTATTGAAACTCCATTACCATGGATGTGTGTGGTGTCAAGTACTAATAGCTTGCCTTTTTTGTTGTGATCTTAGTTTTATTCTTGTGTCTTCCTTGTTGAATGAAGATATTGGATGTTTTGACTTTTCATATCTTAATTTTGTCACACACAAGAATAAAACAATTTCTCAAATACACATCACCTATTTAATTAAAATGATTGTCAATTTCTACGGTTCAATTATCAAATACTATATTATATTATTATTGCTGGCTTAAATGATTTGAACGTACTATTTTGTCATTTTCAGTAGTTTATAGTATTGCAATTATCATATTTAAAATCTGAATGATTAAAATTCAGACATATAAAATAGACCAATTTAATAATTGAGATCTAAATAATTAAGATTAAGACCTTAATTAAATGTGAATAATTAAAACCTTATTCTATAATATGTCTACTTGCAGAAAAATCTGCCCATGCTTGTAATTGTTTAGATTAATTCAGCTAATAATTAAGAATTTCTGGCGATAACCATTATATTTCGAAAGAGAACTAATGTTGATAAAGTTGCTTATAATTGGGAAAATTGTATGAAATAACAAACTACTAATTCAAATTAATTGTTATAGCCATAATTTATTTTATTTGTAATTCGCAGCAAACATTCCATTTTTTGTCATCTGATTCGGTATACAATTAGTTATTTTTGGTATACAATTAGGCATTTTATACATTTCGATATAAAATGCATTTGTGTTTGTATAAAACGAAAGGAAAGTGTATATACAAATACAAATACATATATTTTCATCCTATACACTGTCCTATACACTTATAATTATACAAATACAAATCTTATTATACAAATTACAATGTATAAATGAATTTATACAAAACTGAACAATTTGTATAAAATTGGATGTATCTAGCGAATTAGACAAATCAAAAGCTCCATAGCAAACATAAAATTTGCTATGGAGCGCAATTATGCAAACTATAGTTATAATATACAAATATGATTTTTATGTTTGCTATACTTGAAAGCTGCTCATCATAATTTATAATTATTTTTGAGGTGGCCTTTTAATTTTTTTTTAAATTATTCGTATTATGTTTAAAAACTTAATGATGTCACCATAGGGGCATAAATAGTGCTATTTATGGAAACTCCCCCTATTATGATTTTGTTTGAATCATTGGGCTGCTGAACAGGCCCAATTTAGTTTTCAGCCCGGAGTTAGTTGGACCAGTTTAGTTCTCGAGTCTTGTAAATAATCAGGAGTGGGGTTATTTCGACTTCGCCCCTATTTCGTTTTTAATTCTTGTGTCACGGACAATCATATTAGTGCTCTATAGATATAGTTTTGTTATTTGCGCTCTATAGCTATATCTTGTTTGCTATAGAGCCTCTGATTTGTATAAATCACGACGCCGATTCATAGGTGTCTATGAAAATTGTGTTTGTATATTTACTTCAATTTGTGTATGTATATGTTCTTTGTGTTAAACTTATCAATTATATATATGTGTGTGTGGAATCTTTGTACAAATACAATTTTTTATTAGTTTCATTTGTATATGTATATGTTCTATATGTTAGGCTTGTCAATTGTGTGTGTGTATATATATATATATATATATATATAATAAAAAAAAAATTGTTGAATCTGTATATAAATACAAAATTTTATTAGTTGTTATTTGTATATGTATATGTTTTTTGTGTTAGGCTTGTCAATTGTATATGTATACAATAAGTCTCACTTGAATGGCAAGAAAAATGAAACATTAGATGCAAAATAGAATTAAATGAAACAGTAGCGATAACATTTAATTTGATTTAAATGTTTGCTATTATGAACAATTTTCCTAAAAAAATTTCGCAAAACATAAATTTATATTTGGGATAATTAAAATTTTTATTAATCAGAATTAGCACAATTTTCATTATTATTTCAATTAGCCAATCAGCTATCTTAATTTTAACACATTAGCCAGCGTAGGAAATTTCCAACTCCCTTCTAATTACTTTCTTGGAACCTTCCTTTCGTCATACACAGAAGAAAATAACTACTTCTGTCAATTTTTATTTGTCATATTACATTTTTCAAAAGTCAATTTGACTAATTTTCAAAGTTAAATTAGATTACATAATTCGACATTTTTAAAAAATAATTTAGAACTATACGAAAAATACAATAAATTGCATTTTTTTTCATATCAATATAACGAAAAAACACATCGCAATATAACCGTTAAAGTTTTTATAGTTTGACTCTTAAAAAGGAAACTAGGACAATTGAAAGCGGAGGATGACAGTAGCTATGAAGTAAAACATGATTTGCTTTCTTCCAACTCCTTTAAATTACCGTTCTCATGCTGTTTCAATTTTGGCATCACTACTAGTCTATTGTTATGCTATTTTCGCCATTGAAGAAAAACAGAGGAGGAAAACGTGAATCATTTTTATAATTTGATATGTTGTAAACGTGATTCGTTTTGAGTGAATATTATATCAAAAGAATCGATACATCCAGAGGAGTTCATATCTAAAATTTTGAATTGTTGGTTGAAATTGAAAAAGTTGACCAACAATGCATACTTTATTGCATCAACAATATATATAGATGTATATACATCTCTGATCTATACACGAGTATACACTATTTATACAATATTGATACATTATATATACATATGACCATTTTATTGAAAATAATTTTTGTGTCGGTATATATTGCTAATTTGAGGCTATTTTTAATGTAAATGAAAACTTGACTATATTTGGTGCAAATAAAACTACTTTATATGAAATTATCCCTTTAGATTTTTGCATTACAATATCCACAAGTTATGTTCTACGTCCTTAAAGGGTTTATGTTTCAACAGACACAAGTTTAATTGTTAAGGACAAAAATTAAAGATCAATCCATTTAAAGAAAAAAAGAGTTAAAGACCAATGACTAATTGGGCAATTAAATGCTCAGGAGGAATTGGCAAACGAAGAGATAGCTCATATTTTCTCCATCTAAATTTCGATCATGTGTAAATCAACGATCACGAAAGCTTCTCTACTATTACCTTTCGATCAAGTAAATTCCACTTATATTTCAGATTTTTCTATATGATGATAAATAAATTGTTTATCATAGTGCAGCTAATTTTGGTAATATCTTATTATTATTATTATTATTATTATTATTATTAGATGTTAACTGCATAGTGCTTCTGATAAGATTCGAGTCAATAAAAACAATCAATACCTCAAAAAATGGATCGTAGCTATGAAAATTAATTAGGACTTGAAAGTCTAACCTACCGTTGGATTACATGTAATCAACGGTGTGGTCATTTATGTTAAAATGAAATGAAATATTAATTAATATTTAATTTCACTATTCAAAATTGAGTGTTATGTGCATCCCTTTGCGTTTTACTACAAGGCTTAAAAAAATGAATTTAAAATAAAAAATGTGCCTAGTAAGATGAAAATTTAAAAGGAATAGAGGCTATAAAATTTTGAGCAAAATATATGTATTGAAAAAATAAATCGGAATCAAAAACTTGTGTTACAATTTTAATCCACCGTTCATTTTAATTTGTCAATTGTGTCAAAAATATATTTTCACTTTTACTAATCATTTTTTATATATTAAGAGACTTTTTTTCTTCACATTTTTAAAAATAATAATTACTTATTTTCAAGTTTTTTCTCAAAATCTAAAACAATACGTCAATGAATATGATTATTATGCTAAAATTTTCATATTAATCATTAAAATAGAAAGAATGTTTTTAAAATATAGAAAATATTATCCTATCAATATAGATTGAGCCTGAAATATATAGAAAATCTTATTGGGAATGTCACTCTAAATGATCCTTACTATATGTCATTTAAATTTAATCGAAACTCTAATGTGAAATCGAAACATCAAATGAAAAACTAAAAAAAGGAGAAGTAAAATTTTCAAAATGATACCACCAACGGCACAACCCAACCCAAAGCACTAGGAGTAATTATCACGACAAAAACAAAGAAAAAAGAAGACGTGAAGTCAACGTTCGACCCACTCCCTTCTCCGCGCCTTTGCTTAAGCTTAATTCCTTGTATGTATTTGGTAATAACATCACTTTTTTGGGCAGGTGAACTGTTTACACCGTCCATTTGCACCGATTTACCCGACTCATAATTTGACCTCAAATGGCATGGCAACAGTTCACCATTACTCTCCTATGCCTCTCGTTGATCTCTCTGTTGATACGTTACGGCGTCGCTTCCGGTTTCCGAATTTCTGATGTTTCCAATATCAGCACCGGTTTCCTCCCTTCGCCGGCCGACGGCAGCCATCACACAACCATGTTACTTCCGCTTTTTCCTCCGAAAGACACTTCTCGCCGTGCTGAAATCTCCCGTCGGCACCTCCAGAAAAGCCCTGTCAGTGCTCGCATGTCTCTCCATGATGATCTCCTTATCAACGGGTTCGAATTCGTAGCTATTGCTCAGAATTTAAATTAGAAACTGTTACTAACTGTTTTGGTTGCTGATTTCTCAACTTTTGATGCAGATACTATACAACTCATATTTGGATTGGAACACCACCGCAGAAGTTTGCTCTTATTGTTGATACAGGGAGTACTGTTACTTATGTTCCTTGCTCTTCATGTAAAAAGTGTGGCAACCATCAGGTTGGTTCATCTCTCAACTATCTCTTTGTGATTTTGTTTTCTCTTTCCTTTTTCTGGATAAATAGTAAAAGTTACAGATTTATCTTAATTTTCCAGTTATGTGATTTCATAGCTCAGTAATTTCATAAACGATTATTAAAGAGAGGTGCTATGTTAGGCGAAGCCAGGATTTGAAGGTTTCGGGTGCACCAATATTATCTTAGCTTGACTATAAGCTCTAAGCTAAACTTAAAATAAAAACAATGAAAAATGGATTTAGCTGGATCCGAACCCTAGTCTCACAGGTGATGATTCCTCTGGCTTGTACTAACGGCACAAGGGAACTCATATGCTCCTCATGAGTGCACTGTTAATTATATCGTAGTTTCTGTTAATTTCTCAAGATAGAATTACATATATACACATAATTTTTTCCGAAGTTGACGGGTGCACGTGCACCCCCATTTATAGGTGTTGATCCGCCTCCGACTATCTATGGTTTTCACTTAGAATTGTGTGGCGTTTTGACTTCTTTCTTTTGATCTGTGGTACTATGTATGTTTCTTACTTAGGATCCTAAGTTTCAGCCGGAAAAGTCAAGCACTTATCAATCTGTGAAATGTGATAAGACTTGTCCCTGTGACCTTAAGAGGCAGCAATGTATTTATGAGAGACGGTATGCTGAGATGAGTTCAAGTTTCGGGTTGCTTGGAGAGGACGTCATATCTTTTGGAAATCTAAGTGAGCTTGGACCACAACGAGCTGTTTTTGGATGTGAAATTGCGGAAACTGGTGATCTTTACAGCCAACGTGCTGATGGAATAATGGGCTTGGGTCGAGGGGATGTCAGTATAGTTGATCAACTTGTTGGAAAACATGTAATCAGTGATTCTTTCTCCTTGTGCTATGGAGGGATGGATTTTGGTGGTGGGGCGATGGTTCTTGGTGGAATAAAAACCCCTGCTCACATGGTCTTTACCAAATCATATTTTGGTCGCAGGTATGTATTGGAAATAATTGAATATATACATAGGAATGTTAGGTCCTCCTAACAAATACACTTGATAAATCTTACGCATTTACTCTAGTCTCGGATGGCAACAGCCCGTACTACAATATTGAGCTGAAGGAGATACATGTAGCTGGGAAGCCGCTGAAAATAAATCCTCAGGTTTTTGGTGGAAAACATGGGACTATTCTTGATAGTGGTACCACCTATGCTTACCTTCCAGAAGCAGTATTTGTAGCTTTCAAGAGTGCTGTAAGATATTGTTATCTACATATTTGCCAATGTTTCTGTCATTTGTTTGATTCAAATCTACCTGAGAAAACGAGTAGTAGCAAAAGAACACGCTATTGGTGAGAAGATTTTCCTGAAGAAATTAAAAATTATCAACAATTTGCTTGTGTAGGTGACGATCCAGTATTTTCTGAAACCTTATGTAAGGAATTACAAAACAAATTCACTTAGAAAAATATTCATGGGAATGTTGTGTTTTTGATTATGTAGGTCAATCTATTAATTTTTGTTGTTATTCAAAATTTTGCTTACACCACTGATTGGTGTCACAAACCACCATGTCCTAATCACGGATCAACCTGTAGTCGGAGATTCCTATACATGTGTGGGACTGGAACTAAAATCTCTTAGTCAATAATAGTTTGTGAGCCGATACTTTGTTAGCTACTTCCTTGCCAAAAAAATAAAAAGCTTTGTTAGCTACTACATATTTTTGAAAGAAAAGGAATGACCCAAATATCTCTTGATCCTGTAACTCCACAGTCTAATATTGTTCCTTCTTTTGCTGCCATTTTTTCTGCTATCAAAGGACATAATTTTCATTTCATAACCACTTATTATGGTTGTTTCATGTTTTAAATTTCTCAATTTGGTAATACAACACTTCCAAACCTGATTTGTAGAACGTTGTTTTTTTAGCCGAGGAGTTAGTGCTATCTTATTTTTCGTTATTAAAACTCTAGTTAAAAGAGTTCAATTGTGCAATTGAGAGAATGAGAATTTGAGCCTATTGAATAGAGTCCAAGTATTTTTTCTCTCCTAATTTTTAGTTTTTATTTTTTCCATCAGAAACAACCTCCTTACCCCTCAAAGGTAGGGGAAAGGTCTGCGTACATCCCACCCTCCTCAGATTCCACTTGTGGACACACTGGGTATGTTGTTGTTGATGTTAGCAGGTAGTAATTTTCGTTATATTTAGAGTTCCTTGCAAGCTTCTAGACATCTTTGATGTTGTCTTGCATTGCTTTTGCTGTGTTATATTTAGTGAAGGGATAAGTGGATCACTAGTGGGTAATATCTTTAAATGCAACTAAGTCTATTCCTTTCTAGAATGAACCTCTCAACTTTTCTTTTCAGGTAATGAAAGAGCTTCATTCTCTAAAACAGATCAAAGGGCCTGATCCTAGTTTTAATGATATCTGCTTTTCAGGGGCTGGAAGGTATTAAACGAAGAGTTCTGAAATTAATTTGGTGTCTATGATTTTCTTGTTTAAATTTGTTTTCTTCCTATTGTTGGTGCTACCCATATTATTAATATCTTATATAATCCAGCGACGTGTCACAGCTCGCAAAGAACTTTCCGCCTGTTGATATGGTTTTCAGTGATGGAAATAAACTAACTATCTCTCCTGAAAACTACTTGTTCCAGGTAGGCATCTTATTCTTCTTTAGTACTTTGTTATTTATCTGGCCTGATGCTATTTTGGCTTCAGATCCACTGGCTTCTTTTTCTTTTTACTATTTTGTATTGATTATTTCCCCCCTTTTCCAATGTAACTTGTATGCTTTAAAGCATTTCAAAGTACGTGGTGCTTATTGCCTAGGAATTTTCCCGAATGGAAAGAATCCAACTAGTCTTCTTGGAGGTACTTCTCACTACTTGACAAAGTTCATCTTCCTAACTCTTCTGTGCTGAAATATGCATGCTTTTAATTGCAACAGGAATCGTTGTTCGCAACACTCTTGTAACTTACGATCGTGAAAATGAAAGAATTGGTTTTTGGAAAACTAATTGTTCAGAGCTATGGGATAGACTGAATTTATCTCCTCCTCCACCTCCATCTCCATCTACACCAGTGCTTTCAGGCTTGGATAACCCAAACTCCACTGCACATATGTCTCCTTCACCAGCTCCTAGTGGACCTCCTGGGTACGATATACCTGGTATGAAGAGACAACTTTTCTCCACATAGTATTTCTAAATTCTACTGGAAGGTTACTCTTCCCATTATGGTGCTGTCATAACTAGAACTGCTTTTTTTTTTTAGCATTTCTACTAGGAAGTTCTGAATCTGTATAGATTAATACAGTTGGTCTTCTTCTTAAAATAACATGAAATAGATCGATACTGTCGTTTCCTTTTCAAATTTCAATCTTATGAAAGTGAGGATCAAGTTTAGATTTGCATCTTGCTGATGTTATGATGTATTGCCTTTGATCAAATCACTTTTGAGTTTTGACAATTGAAATTCTGCCTCTTACCCTTAGGTCCAGGAATGCTGCTGTCTTTATATTCCCATTCATGTTGACATATGACCTTCCATTCAGGTAGTAAATCATCTAGTTTCCCTGGCATGCCAAACTTCATAAGAAGCAACCGTCTGTTTAAAATTGTTCTGATGTCATGACATTCTCAACCTTCTTTTAGCTGAAGAAAGATTTAATTAAACTGGAAATTTTTAATAATGACTTCAAGGAATACTGAAAACCCTTGGTTCCCTTTTATTCCCTTTCCGCTTTTTGTCCAACTCTCCGACTTTGACTACAGATTTACTCAGATCTTAAATAGGCTAGATAACATTTATTATTTTGTTAATCCACAACTCATGTGATTGGTAAGCTAATTTCCAAAGCAATGTGTTCATCTTTTTGGGATATTTTAGTGGACAACAGTATTTTACTCTACATAAATGGTCATTTTGAAATTTGCTATTCGTAAAGATGACACTTGAAATACAAATATGTCGTTGGTTAGCTAGGTTTGTTTATTATTGGACTTCTGCAAAGTTCGATAACTTGAAGGTTTAATGAGTAAAGTTGAATAGTTAATGGAACATACACTGACCATATGCCGACTGTCTGAAATTCACTCCACTAAGTTATAGTAATCAATTGTCAAATTTCTGGTGAATTTTGTGACACGAATACTTCGAAGTCTGAACGATGACAAGCATGATGAGAATTTTGTGGTAACTTCCTCGGGGGGAAGGAATGACAATCGCCAAAAGTTTCATGCATAATAATTTCCTGTTTTCACTGTTGAACATAGGCATGTTTTTTACCTAATTTCAGTTTGATGAATCTCTTCTATCTTTGCATAATCTCAAATGAGCTGACTTTTATCTTCCGAAAAAATTCTCAAGATTTCATTTAGTTTTGCTAGTGTCCATTAGAAATACTTATCATTGTTATCAAATTCATCTTTGACATCAACTTTCAGGGGAGATTGAAATTGGGCTCATTACATTTTACTTGTCACTAAGTGTCAACTTCTCAGAGTTGAAGCTACGGATTCCAGAACTTGCCCATTCCATTGCCCAAGAGTTGGATGTTAATGTTTCACAGGTAATTTGGTTTATTGTGGTAATTTTGGCAGAACCACTTTTTTCTCTTTTGATAAGTTACACCTTTATTTAATCAAAACAGCATTGCCAAGCTGCATATATTTTGGCATAAACAGAATGTCTGAGATTTATTCTTTCCAAGGGGGTCTAAAGATGCCATGCTACAGTACTATTCCAAATTAAACTGAGAAGTAAGAGCTTGTAATTGAAGTTTGTTGTTGTTGTGGGGGTGGAGGTGGTTGGGGGAGGGTTTGAATAGGTAGTTTCTTTTCTTGTTGAGCGTTTACACACAAGTTTTGGCAACCTACGACATAATAACACAGGAAATGGCTATGCAGAACTAGGGGTTTGTGAAGTTAGTTTTGAGAAGTCCTTTTTATTAGTATGATATAGCTTAGTTCAGAAAAACTTCAAAACTCGAGCTCAGAAAGCCTACCTTATCTTGCAGCATTTCAATATAATATTTGATTTCTTGTATGTTACTCAATCTCCACTGGTCTTGAGTTTTAACTTTGTTACACGTGATATGTCAATCATCTATGTCATAACCTCAAGCAAGGTTGGGAGCTATATGAATTCTCATCAAGAATTGACTATTTTTATGATGATCCTTAACCTATGGCAACTCAACTCTTTTATCCGGACTGCACTGACTATGCTTTCAAGTAGGTTGATTCAACTTTCTTTCACATGATGATGTCACTTACCTTGCAGGTTCGCTTAATGAACTTTTCAACAAAGGGAAATGATTCCCTCACTAAATGGGGCGTCTTTCCAGCAGGATCTACAGACCTTATGCCAAATGCCACTGCAATGGTGACTTAGCGTTCTAAAATATGTATTGCTATTCTTTGAGTTGAAGAATGTGTATTTATTCATGATATATTATGCAGGAAATAATAGCTAGGTTGGCTGAACATCATCCTCATCTAAAGGATTCCTTTGGAAGTTATAAATTGTTCAATTGGGCCATTGAACCTCCACCAAAAAGGTATACAAGCAATTTCTTCTGTCTCTTTTGCTAATTCCTTCATTTGTCTACCCCTCACAGTTCTATATTCTCTCTCTCTTTCTCCACCATTCCTTTTCCATGGTAGTTTCATCTTTTTCGTGCCTTGTGTGCTGTGTTAATAATATGATATCACATCCTTGATTTTAATTTTGTAGGAAGCATTGGCCGCGAAATTACTTGGCCCTAGTAGTACCATTTTTAGTTGTTTTGATAGTTGGACTATCAGCTCCTATTGGATGGTTAATTTGGAGGCGAAGGCAAGAACGGGCTCTACCTTATGAACAGGTTGGAAGTGTTGAAACTGTTGCTCACGAGCAAGAACTACAGCCGCTAAAATGAAAGGGAATTATTTGCCAAGGATGGTTCATGGTAAAAAGGAAATTTTGAAGTGGAAGTGTTGATCTCTTATACAAACAAATTCATGGTTTGAATTTTATGGGTTCGAGTTCAGAATTCTACCCCAACCCATATGGTTTATTGGGTTGGCAATCTATTATTTGTACTTCAGTACAAAAAAATTTAACACATATATATATAAGGTTAGGAACTTGGGATAAGTTAAATATGTCCTTTTGTTCTTCATACCACTACCACATCGTATGCTGTTTCTTTTCTCTCTTCTTATTGTGGTGTATTTCATGACCGTTCACATTCATTTTTCTAGCAGGTGCCTGTATTATTTTACCTGCATAAATACCAAAGTATATTTATGAAAACTTATAAAGAATCTAGTCTTTTATTTTATTTTTATACTTTACTAGGATTGGAGAAGAAGTAGAAATCCAAGTTAACAGTAGCAAGGGTAATAGAGAGTTGTAATCCATGCTTCTCGTTTAAAGTATGTCTTTCGAGGTGGAGTAGAGTGTAGACATTTCATACAAATGTAAGAATCTAGTAAATTACTTGAGCCAATAGTCCTCTGGAAACAGCCTCTTTACAGACGAGGTAAGAGTGTACACTCTACTCTTCTCAGACCAGTAGGATCTCAGTGAGTTGCTGCTGTTGTTGTAAGAATGTAGTAATTAATCTCTAGGGAAGATACGATTTTAGTAAGCACAATAATGAACTCGCGTATTATAAATATGGCTGTTACAAGTTAATACTAAAGTCAACTACAGCTATGTGAAATGTGAATGCATGAACGGATGAGATGTGAAATTTGACTGTTGATTAAATCGAAAAATTATTAAAGTCACCCAACTCAACAGCTGCGGAAGAAGATCCATTCTTTTTTATTTTTTGTAAGAAAAGAGATTTAATTAAATGGACCAAAAATACTGTCCTAATGAAATTACATGAACCCTTAGGTAATTTGAGACTGAATAAATAAGCTAACACCATGAAATTGAACGTTGATAAATCGCGGAGAGACTAGGAGATATGAAAACAAGGCCCCCCACATTATTACACAATTTTTTTTGTATAGATGGAAGAACACCCCTTCTCCAGCTATGTTGTATCGAGACACCTGAAAATTGCATACATAGGAACAGGTTAAAAGTAGCAAAGAGGACTTCTTTTTTCACAGCCTAAATTGGTGAAAAAGAAAAATCAAACTAATGCACAACCACAAAAAGACCTTGATAACCAAAAAAATGAAAGGTAAAATTGAAGGTGAGAAGAACCTGGAAACTATATATTTAGCTCTTCTCATAGGTTGGTATGGGCACTCCTGAATCTTTTGAGAGATTCTTGTAAGCATTTTGTAATCTCAGTGTTATAGGTCCTACTCGACCATCACCAACTATACGTCCATCAATTTTGACAACCTGTCCATGCAACGAACAAGATAGTCCCTCAGTATGATAGTAAACCAGCACGAATAAGTTAAACACCAGAATACTCAGTGTCATCATGTCAATGGTAAGATTCAGATTTTCAGCTCAGAGAATTGAACACATTTTTGAGTGTTGATAGATTTATTTATGACCTGCAGACTCAAAATAATCTACTTTGACAGGCCAAAATTATGTGAATTAGGATTGACCCCAATTGAAAACCAAGCCAAGGATCCTCAGGTGAACATATTTATTCAATGGTTAAAGGAAACAGTTGCAATTCTGTATGACTGAGTCAGCCACATGACACTAAAGTTTTAATTCAATTCAAGACTTTTAACCTACCGGGCTCAGCTCCCCCATAGTTCCTGTTGTCCACACCTACAGGAGGTGAAAGATTCATATTAGAGGAAGCAAAAACAGAAAAATGGCGAGACAACCAACGGTGGTGGTGATGGTCGAGTCATACTTCACTAGTGACAGTAAAAATGAAAATGAGAAGCTTCGTCTTAACACAAACATTTTTCAACACTAGATAGCAACAAACAACTAAAACCAAAGAAGAAGGCATCTCTAAAACAAGTAGTATCACAAATAATGGAACGGAAGAAGCATAATTGTGTAGGAATTAACTTTGCAAAAGGTGTTCTCGAAGCACACAATATATGCCCTCAAATTACAGACTGAAGAGTTGGACTGCAAAAATATCCTTATTACTTCGGGTCAGTGAGAAAACAAGAAAGTGGGCATCTTTATGCATAATGATCGCATGGACCAAAGAGTGGGAAAACTAAACTTTCCTGAAAATGCTTAGAACATCTTTAATTCAGTAATGTCAAGCGTAAGAATCACGAAGCTCGTATTCTGTATATTAATGAATTCAAAAAAGGAATCCACATTTAAACCAAATGAGATGAGAGTCTCAATAATAGTTGATATGGAATGGTTAGTCCCTTCATGATTCATGATACATACATTTAGTGCAGTGATTACCTAGTCCATCACTACAATATACACACAATTTTCAAAGTCGAATCTAAAACAAATATAGAAACCTCATTTAACAAATAATAAATATTTACTTTCGACTTTTTTTTCCAGGTCAATGATATTGTCTTGATAAGAAAATAAAATCATTGACTTGGATAAGATAAGGTTGGAAGCAAAACACTGGGCATAAGGAGTTTGTAGAAGTTGTTGGTATGAAGAATAAATATTGAAATAAGTGAATTTACCCCTAAATAGATATAACCTCTTTTTATCTATTTGTATTTGTAGTTACACTAGTTTTGGCACAGAGATGCACAATAAAGAGGTTTTCATCTGATTTTTATATTCAAAAAAACAGCCGCTAGCTTCCTCAATATGGGGGTGGGGGTTGTTGTGACAGTAGGCATAATGATAGATTATCGGTGCTACCCCAAACATTATTGCCTTACTGCTGCTCTATTCAATTTTAGAGATGCAGTAGATGCTTAAAAAGGTATTCAAGCTGAAGTAAAGTTTGTCAGGAATGGTTTCTCCAGAAAATGGAGTAGGTTGAGTTGTGTGATAAGGAGGACGCATACACTAAATGCTCCGAAAACCATATTCAAGCTAGGTGGAATACTTCCACCTTGTGTTAAAATCCTTCATTTCATAATTTCTCAGGCAGCTTCCTTAGACACATTTACAAGCAACATAATTGACAATGTCTGCAGCTCATCTTTAAGACAAAAAAGGTTGTTAGGTAATGCCTGAAACAAATTTTCTAGGTTTTCAAAGAACAAATGCATAGTTTAGAGTATACACCTCATCAGCAGTGTGAAATTCTGATAAGCTAATTCGTCGCTCCTCTAAAGCTAAACTTTCCTTCAGCACAAGCTCCATGACCTGCAAAATATATTGTTGATCATCAAGCAGATAACTCTAAAAATTTATCACTTCATCAAAGACTAAAAGGGGGAGAGAGGGAAAGAAATAAGAAGAGATCTTCTAAAACTTACTGTTGCTCTAGTTATGCCAGGAAGGCAATAATCAGAATGAGGTGTCACCACACGCCCTTTCTTCACTAAGAACTGCAAAGGGTAAAATCATATATTTTATCAAAGATAGGAGAAACACAAGATCTGATGGTTGGTAATAAAGTAAAAGAAAAAAAAATGCTCAAACCATTGCAATGAACTAAATGACCACAGAATTGTGTGAGAATGTGCTTTTGAGTTTTGTGGTTATACCACCAAACACAGGCAGATATTACAGAATAAAAGAGGAGTCTGTTGGAAAGGACATGCAATGACCTTCCTTAAAGTGTGGGTTGCCTCCTGAGGGATAGAAATGGGGAACCTCAAGGAGGAGGTAAATGAGCTTACTATATTTGTAGCATTAGTTTCTGACACATAGCCATCTTTATCAAGCATGATTGCATCATCAGCCCCAGCATTATTACCTTCTATCTGCACCAGAGGAGAAATTGCTGTCAATTACAGCCAGGTGGATGCACACAAATCATACAGTGTGGTAGTATGACAAAGACAAGAAACAAATGCAATTTCTAAGGAATGCCTGGCCTTCACCAAACTGGAGTTGCTTTTGTATTTCCACATAGTATAATGATCACAATTTTGAATTGTCAAGAAGCAGTTGTCCAGCTACTAAACCATAGAACAATTCTTCCATCATCCCAGTTCACTGTTGATGTCCAATTTTTTTAGTTACATTGATATTTCTGATTGGCATTTAAACATTCCATAATCTTAATTAGGGAGTGGGATAAACATTTCACTTACTTCCAGCTGATCCAACAAAATTTTAGCTGCATAACCAATCAATTTGACTCTAAAAATGAAATTGCTATAATTTCTTAATATAAAGTATTTAAAATGCAGAGGGTGAGATAAGAATCTGCAAGCAGACATAAAACTGAAGAACTATCAATATGAATTTCTGGATCACAATTACGACTTCCTCACAATAGAAAGATTATGTAAATACTCATTGTATTGATTTGCATAGAGAAAAATACCTTTGCAAGAATGTTGTTGAGAAGGTTGTTATGGTGAATCTTTGAATCCAAATTCTGCAAGGGAAACAACAAGTTGTTACTTTAAGACAAGAGATACCCCAAACACAATTTTATTAACAGTGATCAAAAGCTCAGAGTAACATGAACTTCATTGTCTTTTCACTTAAAAGATAGTTCAAGGAATTATGTATCGCTTTCCTCAATCTTTGGTTTTAAGATAGTAGCAGCAACAGAAAAGCAAGTTATTCCACATCATTAACTAGGAAGCATAGAACACTTAGATACCTTAACCAAGGATTAAATATAAATCATGAGAAGAAATTACAATCCTTGGCCAACATCATCTTGTGGGGTAATGGACATGGTTGGGAAGGAAGAACATTAATCATGGTTTTATTCTCAGCAACACATCACCATCCTTACTTGGACTCAGTATCAAGTTTGTTCTAAAGGTACTCTAGAACAAGGTACTGATAAAGCTAATAGAGAATGATTTTTTAAAATTGGCTCAAGTCTTGATAGAAGAGCCCAATGAAGGAATTTGGAAGTACAGGATCCACATGATGGTGTTAAAGTCTAAATTAACTGAAAACAGAGGAGAGTAACACAGTGTCAGATTTTCTATCCTTCTTTTATTTTTCCTTAATTTCAGGCAAACGGAAGTTCCTCAGGATACCTCAACATAATCATGCTTTATGATAGCTATCTCGACTGTAACTGACAAAATGTCAAGTTGTCACTCACCATTTTAAGAAATGATCACTATTAACATGCACTGTACTGTTAAATAAAGTTAAAGACCAATGAGAGGATGAGCAACCAACTCCAGTAGAGAAAACAAGAAGCACAAAAAACCGTCTTTTCTAAATTATAAGAGATAAACAATTAAGAGAGAAATTGTTTCACCAGATATGGAGCCCTGATATTTGCACTTGAAGATGCTACTGAGTAGAAATCTGATTCTGGTTTATTACAAATAATTAAGCATAGAAGAAGAAATGTGAAAAAATAATAATCTGGTGTAGTATACAGGATATAATCGAATTGCAACTATATGATAGAGGTTTTTTAAAAAAAAAAACTCAAGGCCTTTCCTAAAGTTTCAGGGTAAACCCTCCCCCTCCCTGCAGTAAAACAAACAAAGGATCAGGGGAATGCTGAGGTATCAACAAAACCACAACTTCCCTCAAAGATGATCTGAACACTTGAATAAGAATCTCTAGATGAATGGAAATTGTTTTAGCAATAAGGATAAAAACGAAATGACTTTTTATGCCAAAAAAGGGGGCAAGGAAAAGGCATAAAATTACTAGGTTCAACTAGAAGAAATATCTTACATTTGGTGAATTACGACGAGTGGTTGCCGTCACTAACATTAAGCCCTTTTCATTGTCATAGACTGGAGGTTTCCATTCAGCAAGAACTACAAAAAAGGGTATAATAAAAATATGAGAAAGGAGGACGGCAAATAAGAGTTATAGCTACACCAGTAAAGTACAGAAAGTGGACATTTAGTATTTTAGTGTATTTTCTTTTACTTTTTATTGACATTGAAAATTCAAGGATGGTGTTAATCTATTTCTTTGGTATATCTCTTTTCCAGACTATTCATCACCAAGTACACAGAGAGAGAAATGCAGTCCAGGAAAAAGGTTTGCTGACTAGTTCGAAACATTCTTAATTCAGACAACTTCAGGCAACTGTAACTTGGATATAAGAACTCATAAACAAGAGTAGTTCATAATAAAACAATTTTCATGCTTACAAGATGACAGTGTAGGCTGAACCCTGACATTGTTCATGCCGAGGAACAATGAAAGAGTATACGAAGTAGGCATTCAGACAACAAAAAACATAGAAGACAACTTACCAATTAAAGTACATCCATAACGATTGAATGACGGGCTCATTCCTGAGGTTACCTAATGATAAGAACATGAGAAATTCGAAGGCCAGAGTGAAAGAGAACTAGAATTAAAAACATAATATGACCTAATGTCCAGGCATGCATTTATATCAGATTCCAAAACAACGACTGAATATGAGAATAGATAGAGTAATAGCAATTATGTAGATTACCTTTTTACCACGTGTCAAAGTTAGTCGGATATGTGCATTATCAAACATTCCATTTCTTAAAAGAGTCCTGAAAATAGCTTCTTTCACCTACATATTCTTGCATCAAGTCACAAGTTCAACAAATTATACTACATATTGTAATGTAGAAATCAAAAGCTTAGAGGACCTAGACCCAAACAGGGAATTGCCACAGCATTTTACCTCTTCGCGAGTTGGTACATTGCTGAAAGCTAGTGCTTTCGCAGAGTCGAACATCCTGAGAAAAGGAAACTTAAATGTAAATTTAGAGCAAGAAAAAGCATTTTATAATTACGGCACATTATTCTGTGATTCAGATCAAAGAAGCTAAATCGTTTCAAAACTGATATTCATTTAACTTTATCTTCACTGATTAATCCTATGTCATTTCATATTATGGAGGCAGAATAGGTCGTTACATTGAAAAATTCTTACCATTAGGACTTGCAACTCATTTGCATAATTTTCCCTATCTGGTGTGTTTGCATTACACATGAAGGCGTGTTTTGATAAATTTGATTTTCAAGTTATGCAAAGCATTATCTTTGCTTTGGAGTTACTCATTCACAGGGAGTTGCATCCATGCTTCATCTTCTTTTACACATTTGATGTTATTTTCTTTGATTATGCCCCTTCATTATAATGTCCATGCAAAACCATCCAAGCCTAATATTTTCCCTCTAAATTTTACATCAAGACGCCAACTTAATCAGTTAATTCTCTTCACAACAGTTAAATCTGATCCTGTCTATAGGTTCAAGTCAGTGCAGGTTTCCTATCTTGTAACCACCTCTGAACAGTTTGATCTGGATCTCTCATAGCCCTACATAAACATAAATGATTATGCCTCAAATTCCTATTCTGCAAAAATCTTGTAATCCACTGTCTGACACTTGTTGATCTTTCATTATGTAGAGCCTGATCCTAAATCTTATGCAGAGGAAGCATCTCATGTCCAAGTATCTTACCATAATGATGAGGTATAAATTTGATGATACACAACAAAAGTGGAAGATATTTTACAACCTATCTTGTGCTGAAATTAATTGGTGATTCTTTGTTGTTAGTATTACATTGATACTTATCCAGATAGACTTAAAGCCCATGAAGCGACAAAGTACATTGTTTAGAAACTTCCTCCAGTAGCAAAAGAGAGGACTTAACCTGTGGTTTGTGAACTGTTCCTTTTTTCTTTTTCAATGTACTTTTGTTCTTACCTGTATACTCTCATCATTTACAACATCAGTTGGACCTCCATAAACGAAGCCCAGGTAGTATACTCTCACTGTGCCATTGAAAAAAGCAATGGCACCCAAAAGGATTATTCTAATTTGTACAAAAATATGTTGCTGCTAGCAAATTAACCAAATTACTGGTGTTACTGGAACAATCAATGGGGAAAAAGAGTAGAGCCATCTGAATGATCGTTACAATAGTTAGACCATGAAAAGAAAGAAATATTGGTTGCACCGCCGCCTGTCAGTAGGTGAAAACTATTCAAGTCGACCAATATTTAGGGGCTTTGATGTGTAGGGGGGAAATAATGAAAGGCAAAGAGAATAAATAGATAGCTTGATGACAATGGTCTCACCTCATACAATCCACATCTTATATCTGACTAATGGTGACTAATTTAGCACTAGTTGTTGTCACTTACCTATCTAAATGCTCCTCAAGCTTAAATACCTTTCCGCCGTACACTCGAAGCCCCTCCCAAACTCCATCACCACCTTGGACAATTGAATCAAATACTGAAACCTAGAAAATGTCTTGCAGTGATCAAAAATTGAGAGCTAGTTGAGCAGGAGAGCAGAAAGAACAGAAATTATTCGAATATCATTCTTGGTAAACTACGTTACCATTTTACCTTCGCAGTCTCACGAGGCACAATCTCATCACCAACCCATGCAAGCAGCTTCTCATTAGCAGGAACAGGAAGACTAGGATGAGGTAAAGTTGAGTTCAGGTAATTAGAAGAAGATCGTCTAGCATGACGTTTAAGCATGTTGTAAAAGGGTAGGCTTTGCTCCAACATATCATACAATGATGTTGGAAATGGCTGAAAATTTTTAGAAGGAAAAACTATGAGCAAATGTCTTTCACGTGACATTTAGCTTTATTCATGATTATTTAGAATGTTCTAGGAAAGAAACAAGCTGCCAGCAAAATCAAAACAATTTAAGACTGAGTAACAACAAACAGGTTCAACTTTCATGGGATTAATTTTGAACAAAAACACATCGCGCTGCACATGCAAAAACAACAGGTGACTGGTAAGCGTGGGACATGAAAGAGACTTTGTTTAAATAGTTTTCTCCATTTCAAATTCACTCGGCACAATATATCTCCGCCAATAAGGATAATATGTGAGCTGTGGATAATCCCCGGAAAAAGAATTCATATGCAATCATACTTGATAATACAAACTGAAGTAAAGAGTGTCCGTCTTCTTTATTTTGTAACCTGATGGCACTAAAGATGAGTTTCTAAATGCCACTATAATACTCTGTTTAATCATTAAAGTTTTTGCATAACCAAATAGTAATCAAGGATCTGTGAACCGTATACCATAGGGTATTTCTTTGCTGGAGAAAAACCTGTTGATTTATGCACACTTTTATACCACCATGGTGCCCAGATGCCATCAAATGGTTTCGGTCCAGCTTCCCACCTGAAAACTCCAACGATCTTGAGATTTAGGTATAGTTGCAGTTGTTTAACTCCAGAGAGATGATTTTCTAAGGTAACATAATCTCATTAATATGGTAAATTTTCCGCATACAAAAAAGTATTACCAAAAAGTAGAGTCTACACAAAATATGGCTGTCTAAAGAATAGAAAATCTTCTAGTGTGGTGACTCCAGATAGATTATTGTCAACAACTTGTTAAAAGTTCTAGCACGAATTTAGCTTACCTGAGCATTGAATCTTGAAATGGAATGTCAAGGTCTTCACAAAGGCCACGCAGGGTCGCCTGCAGAAAGACAATTAGCAGAGAATTCTTAAAAATGCTAAGTTGTGAACTTTATAAGCAACTAGACAAGTAATCAAGACACTCAATCCTGTGATCATTCCTCATGTAAGAGTTGGGGGAAGGTATTTTAACTATCTTTTCTTTTTCATTTCTCTTTCAGTTGGTGTAACAGACTGCCATGTTTAAAACAAAATGAAACAGGAAATTGAGGGGGAAAAGTTGAACCAGATAAAGGAGACTGGACATTGCACTAACTGCACTAGAATTAGTGCTATACAATACTTTTATAAATGAGGTCTTAACATTTATTCAATAGAAGCTGACCCTACCAGTCATAGTTGGTGAGACACTAAGCCTGACCCCTACGCTTTAGTTCATATGAATCAAGTTGCACATAGAAGGCTCTCACAGCAAACCAACTGATAGCATAAACACAAATTAGGCCTTAGCTTATTATAATGAAAACACATGATAAGTTGTGTTACCATATAAGCACAATAGCTTAAAATTTCACATTCATAACAGTTCCTTTCCTCTTTTTCGACAAATTAAGGTTTTTGTGTTACTCCAACAGTGTTCTTATTCATAAATACCTATATATCTACACAGAGAAGGAATACCACTGAATACAGTGGTAAAATGACTAAGCAGACACAATGAAGTTGTGACAGGACCCTAATGAGCAGCCATTGCTATAATTCTTAAACCATCTATGAAAATGTTTGCACTGGCAACTCCGTAAGTCAGTGCAAAGCAATAATCAGTTATTACATGTTACTGCACGACTAGAATAGCTGTGATTGAAACCATAATTTCAGTAATTTGGGCATCACTGGGCAAAGGACCATATCTATCTAGTATCTAAGTTTGTCAACATTCCCAACTAGGATGAGCAGAACCAAGAACCATACTTTCATAAACCAGTAATGAAAGGGGATTATGCTTCAAACTGAATAATGCTACTGGAAATGAACCTCGGGATTTTCTCGAAGATCTGCAGCATCAATAACTGGTGGGGGTCTTCCTGATTCAGATAACTCACTGTATACGGAGACCAGCTCTGCCAACCCCAGCTCAAGAAATGATGGAGGTACAACCTTCTCAAAGGATGGCTACCAACATAGCACATGTAAGTTAAATTTGTTAAAAGCAGAAATAACATTTTCTACATCAAATAGAAAATGAAAATTAATAAAATATAAAATAAACAGAGAAATATAAGATGAGCAATGCCACAAGGTAATGAACCTGCTGCTAGTGATGCATCGGTATTGAGATTTTCCATTAATTTGCTTACTTGGTACGTTGACAAAAGAACATAATTTTTTTTATAAAAAAAAAACAGACTGAATAAATTAGAAACTTATAACCAACCCATCAGTAACAAGAGTCAAGACTTGAACTTATATTTACCAAGATATCAAGGGGATTCCTTATCAGTATGAAGTGCTTTCCTCTTTTCATCAATTCATTTGTCAAACCTGGCACACGTTGTTTAGCTATATGCTGCGAGAAGGAAGAAGGAATAGTGAGAAAATTTGAATTAATAATCTAATTACAGATCTCTATGACCAAAACTGTCTACAGCACTATGTAGTGCTCGAAACCTATCAAAGACCAGACCCTTGAAACTCAGTGTTTGACCCACAATGTTAAATGCTTGTTTGCAGGCTTGCAGTTGTCTAGACAACTTATTGGTTCTTCATCTTATTCGTCAGAAAACTCAAGCCAAAGTTGTCAAGCAATAGCAAGCATTCCTATATAACTATTAATTTACTTTATATAAAATTTCTGGCATAAGGGTGTGTTTTACCATTTAAAAAAAAATCATAATCATAGTAAAGAACTCAAGTCTTACACAAAATCCACAATTTGCTAGCATTAGACAGCACCGGTACCTAGAAACAGTGTTAGTTCATGCTCCTTCCAACTACTCTTTGATGAACAATCACAAAATGATGGAGCTTTGGGAGAAACCAGTACTGAGAGGAGAACACATAGTCAAAATTATCTTGAATACCCTTCCGACGTAACACTCAGTTCCTAACTCTCAATCATACAAATCGTATGGTGCCTAAGTTGTCACAACTGTTATCTGAGTTTTAGCAGCAAGCAGACACATTTCCAACATTTTTCTACAAGTAAATAAAATTCATCTTGATGTTCCTTGTCCTCTGATATCGAGTTAGAAGACTATGAATATGAATGAATCTCTCTTAGAAACGTAAGAACGATAAAACCCAACAAGGCTGGTAAAGACCAAATCATAACTTCTAGTGCATTCATAACTTTATTCATAAATAGAGCTATGATGCTTGCTTGATTACCTTACAGTAGCGATACTTCTTTACTCCTGCACCGAAGATGACCTCTTTCACCACCTTATTTCCATCATTCTCCTGCTTATTTCATATAAAAGTTACTCTAATCCAAGATACAGAGAGCGCATTGCCATACATTATGTAACCATATTGAAAAGAATCAAGATTGCTATACTAGGTATCAAAATTGCAACTCAGCACGAATGACAAAACTGGAAAAGGATGGGAATCATGAATGTGGTACTCATCTTACATACCATTTCGGATCGAAGTTGTTCCTTGTAAGGTCTATCCACTCCAGTGACTCGCAAAAAATTTGCATACAGTGGTTCATCAAGAACTTCGATGTCATTTCTCTGTAACAAAAGAAAATACTCTTATGCCAAAGGGCATGTACCATCAAAATAACACTATATACGCTAGTTAATCAAACAAAGGCATAGGTGTCGAGACTGCTTAGGATTCTTAACCATCTAATCAAGCAAATAGAAATTACGTAGGAGCATTATTTTCGCTGGAAAGAGGAATCATATATATTCACAGAAAATCAGGATTATCAAACAGGCATTCCGAAGACTACAGAGCAATTATTTGCTATTGCACTGTTAGGTGACATGCAAGATCAACTTTCCAAACCCCACTTCCATCATCCTCTTATTGAAGGGAATGGGGATTTGAGAAGCATCATTATATCAAGATTCATGAACATAAATCATTCTAGTGTAAGATAAAGTCAACCAAATCAAGAAATCCAAGAATCTCATGATTTTTCAAGAACCACTTCAAAATTTTCAAGAACCCCATCTCACACAGAGAAAAAAATAGAATCTTTTTCCCCTCTGATTCATCAAGAATAATGGTAAACAAAAGAATACTCCTCACCTGGGAAAAAGAGTACATGAGGCTGGTGCTTAGGGACCTTGGTGCAGACCAAGAATGTATCACCTCAATTTCTTCTCCCATTATTCAAGATTCAAGAATTGCACAACTTGGTTTTGTGAGTTTGAGAGATTCAAGAATGTATCACCTAAATGTTATGTTTCTTGAAGTTGGCAGCAACAACACCAGTAGACTAGTGGGTGAAGAGGACAAGAAAGGATAACGACAATTTGTACACTATATAGTATGTCCTTACCCAAAAAGTAATAAACAAAAACTTTATACGTCTCGTCATTAGTTTGATCTGCTTTAAATATGAGAAGTTGAAACACGCCAGCCGTGGAGGTTCTTTTATAGTAAAAAATACTTTTATTTAAGGGATACATTATTGAAGGAAAAAATGGCGCCCCATTAATCCAATATATAATTTTTGCACTTATACTACTATATAACAGCATTTAGGGAGAACGGAGTATATGTTGACTTATCACTACTAACTCATGGAGATCGATAAATAAACTAGATAACATTTTGTTTCTACCAACCTTCTATCTTAATACACAACATTCCCTCTTTCCTATAGTATTCTCTCCATTTTATATTAATTGAATTGTTGAAGTGCTTCACACCCTTTAAGAAAAGAAGATTAAGACATAAATTATATATAACTTTCCATTTTTACCCTTATTAATTATTGTCAAATTTATGATTAAAATAGCTAAACATTAATTAATAACTAATTCCAATACTAACTAATGAAGGGTAAAATTGGAAGAACATTTTAAAAGTAGTCTAGAAAATTAAACAATTAAGTTAATTTGAAAAATGATAAATGTCTCAACAATTCAATTAATATGAAATGGATGGAGTATTAGTTATGTCTTCAGTAATATGAGTTTGTCCCATATTATCTAATCAACTCTCCCCAATACGTTTTCGACATATCCTTACCCCTATTTTGTAGCCCTATAACCAAACCTTTGACACCTCCTCATTGAAGCATCATTAATTTTATAGTATAATAATTTCAAATATTTTAGTCATCGTTCTCTTTTTCCTATCTCATATCTCTTAGTATGATTTAAAAAATTAGTAGTAATAAAATAACTTTATTAGTGTAATGATGTAAAAAAGAAAAAAAAAGTTTGAGACGTATTGTAAAAAATTTAAATTTAAATAGAAAAAATAAAGGTGCTTTCTTCTATTATCGGAATGTAACTAATGAATAGGATAAACTAATTAATGGAACGTGGATTTGGTCGTTTGGTATATACGAAATTATTGGATTTAAATTAAAAAGAATTGATTTTTTCTTATTTTTGGTACAATATCTTATTTTGAGTGTTTTAAGAAATTCAATACTGAAATACATAAATAGCTCATACAACACATATTAAGATTATAAGCATATCATATTTGACATCCACACCAAAAAATTAGCCCATCTCATTAACATTATCACCAATTTATTAAATCAATTAGAGATATCAAAATAAGTACTAATATTATTCTCTTATCGTTGCTTTACGAATCCCAATGAAATGTTATGATAATGAGAAATTAAATCTTTAAATTGTCTTTAAAAAATTTTCCCTCAAAGTAAAAGATCAGTCAAATTTAGATAATTTTATTCAATTCAATTACGATTTCTTTTGGTATAGTTTCCTAATTTATTTATTTATTTATTTCAGAACATATAATAATACAATTTAAAAGTTCATGACCCCACATGATTTTTGTTCAGTATATTTTTCATTTTTCAAAAGATTTTTTTTATAATTCTCTATCCAAATGGAATTATCAAATTAAAAGGAGAAAAAATAAATTAAGTTAGATTTTTATTTAATAAAATATTAGTTATCACTTCAAGAACTCGAATACCGAAACATAAATATAAAAGCATATCCTATCGACTGACGTAACTCAGAAGTCAGAAAGTTGCTTAGCACTTTACGTATTCCATTTGTTCTAATATAAATCCAATTATCTCAATTAATTGCTTTTGTTTCACGCTAAATTTGTAAGATGCTTTATTACTTATTGTAATTAATTATAGGCAGCTGATTAGATAATGTCAAATGCTGTCATGTATGATTAACTAGTTTTTGGGAACGCGCTTTGTGCGTGTAACTCGTATTAATGGGTATATTATTTTATTTTTTAAATAAATACTATTAAAACTATGATTTGAGTTTTTTTTTATAAAATATGTCTAATGAGGTTTTTTACTGAGTGATTGTACTGAGATAATAATATAAGAAGTTAATAAAATAAACTCTATTTATAAGTCAAAAAATAAGCTTGTAAAGCAAAAAGAAAAAGATAACAACTATCTAAATTAAATTTCTCGATAGTGTTAAAAGTTTTTTTTTTGTTGGTAGAATAATGTTAGAAGATCAAAAGATTGCATGAGATTAATCCTCTGCAAATCGTAGTGCAATATTAATGTTTCTTCAATTAAAAGCTTGAGAGGAGATTATTTCCTTTTTGTATAAAAAATGGTGTAAGGTTAACTTTGAGTGAAAGGAAAACAAAACCTTTCAATTTTTTTACTTTGTCTTTTGAATCTCCTGATAATTATAATGAATGTGTTCAAATTATTATATTATTTTTTTATCCACAAGCACTTTAAACTAATTAGTTAATTATAAATATTTAATGTTGACACCCAATTTTGGACCTCCACAATATATATTAATTATCGAGCTTCTTCAATTTCAAATGATTTAAAATAATTAGTTTTATAAAATTAAAAATATATATATTAGCAAGTTATTTTAACTAGTTTTGACTCTTTTTTTTATATAATTTTTAGATAATATATTTATTTTACATAATTATGTATATAATTGGTATATTTTATGATTATTTGAAAATCGTCTCAAAAAGATTTTGTTTTAATTAAATAGTTGGTTAATTAGTTTAGTCATATAGTGGTTAATATTTTTTGAATTAATTAGTTTATAATTAAATTAATTATTTTATTTCATTAAGATTGAGAAGCTCGATAGTCTAATTATATTAATTCGTCTTGTTATTAGTCAAACTTATCCTAATTAATTATGTTTGGCTACATCTGTAATTTCCAATTGGCCATCATTTAAATTCATATGGCCATAGCCTAGTCCAAATCTAACCAATTGGATTTTATCCTTAACCCATTTAAAAGACCAAATTTTGAGCCCATTCCAGGCCCAATTCTTTCACCAATCAGCAACCCACCCAACTCAATTCCTAATCCGACCCGTTCCAGTTCTTTTCTCTAAAAAAAAATCCAAGCAGCAACACGCTGCAATGAACAACAATATGCGTACACCACCCCACCCCTACGCGTTCTTCCTCACGCGTACAACCCAGAAAATCCAGCAAATCAAATGAAATCCAGCCAGAAAGAATCGATGAAACTTCAGCAAAAATCGAGCCCAGCTTCAATGCTCCAGCAGTCGCGTGCGATCCCAATAGCCCACGCCAGACACCTTTGTCGTCTTCTCCCAGCATCTTCCTCGTTGCAACAGCAGAAAAAAGTACTTGCTGAAATCTCCATTAATGGAGATTGAGAATATGCAGAATTGCAAAGAGAAAAACAGAGGATAAGAGAAGAGAAAAGAGCATTGTATTGAAATCAATGAATTTTTTGTTACATTGAAAGTTAGCTTTTATAATTGTAGTTCAATATCTATTTATAGACTATAGTATTGTAACTACTTTCATAACTAACTATAGAAGCTTCTAGAACCTTTCTAACAACTCTAACAACTCTAACTAACTCACACCATATAGCTTGTTCAATCTCCTAAACTGATCAATACTCCCCCTCAAGCTTTATGGTTGAAACACATTCTTCATTCCAAATTTGCTCAACAAACTGGTGTGTTGTATCTTGCTCAGACTTTTAGTTAGTAGATCAGCTAGTTGGTCCTTAGTGTTTATGTGTTGAGTTTTCAGCATGCCTTCGCAAATTCTTTCTCGAACAAAATGACAATCAATGTCAAAATATTTTGTACTTTCATGAAAGATGGGGTTAGTTGCAATCTGGATGGCTGTCTTGCTATCACAAATCATATTTACTGGTGTTGTTATCTTGACCCCCAACTCTTTGTACCTATCAACCAAGTTATCTCAATTGTACATGTTGCCATGCTACTGAACTCAGCTTCAGCGGAACTCCTTGAAACTGTCTCTTGTTTCTTTGATTTCCAATAAATAAGTCATTCACCAAATTTAATCAAGTAGCTTATAATTGATCTTCTAGTTTCCATACATGCTCCCCAGTCAGAGTCACAGTAAGTTGTGAGTTTAGAAGTGTCTCCTGCAGGCATTAACAAGCCTAATCCAGGTGCTTCTTTGATGTATCTAACTACTCTAAGAGCTGCATTCATATGTGACTGTTTAGGACAATGCATGAACTGGCTCAAGACTTGTACTGAGAAAGAAATATCTGGTCTTGTCATAGTGAGATATAAGAGCCTTCCTACCAGTCTTTGATATTTTGTAGTGTCAGTTAGTATGTTGTCTCCTTCAGTTATTCCTTCATTAATATGCTCATCATATTGAACTGATGTGAGCTTTTGATTCATCTCTAAAGGTGTACATGTTGGTTTTGCTCCCCCTAGGCCAGACTCAGATATCAATTCTAATGCATACTTTCTTTGTGACATGAGTATGCCTTTGTTGGACCTTGAGAACTCAATGCCCAAAAAGAACTTTAACTAACCCAAGTCTTTCATTTTGAATTTTTTCTGAATATCCAGTCTAGTGTTGCATAAAAGTTATTGATTGTTTCCAGTTATAAGTAGATCATCTACATAAACCAACACCACAACAATATCATTGTCAGTGTGCTTAGTATATAATGAATAGTCATAATGACTCTACTTGAAACCCATATCTATCAAGGCTTCTGTCAGCTTTATATTCCATTGCCTTGGTGCCTGCTTAAGTCCATATAAGGACTTATGTAGTTTGCAGACCTTGTGAGTCTCCCCCTGTCTAGCAAACCCACTAGGAATAACCATATAGACCTCCTCAAGAAGGTCACCATTAAGGAAAACATTATGAACATCCATTTGATAGATATACCAACCTCTAGATGCAGCAAGAGCAACAGTAAATCTAACAGTCACTATCTTAGCAATAGGACTGAAAGTCTCACCATAGTCAATACCTTCCTTCTGACTAAACCCCTTGTGCAACCAACCTAGCTTTAAACCTTTCCACAGCTCATGAGGATAAGTATTTGATTTTGTAAATCCACATGCACCCAATAGGCTTC